ACTTGCTCTGTAGACAAAGCTGGCCTTGAATTCACAGAGGCCTACCTCTGCCTTCGAGTGCCGGGATTAAAGTTGTGCACCACTGTCCAGCTCATTGTTTCTTTTTGATAGTGGGTCACAATTTTATTTTTTTTTTAAACATGTAGTCGTTCTTTAAATTTCGTAGAAAAATGTTTTGGTGACTGTCACTGAAAGACACCTTTTCACACCAGCAGCTCTAAAATTCTTTACTCTCTCATGTTGTTTGCAATGTATTTAATACTTAAGTCTTTTCTTAGCTGAAATGTATTCATCAATCTTACTACACCTGCCTTTACTCCTTTTAGTGTCTGCTAACACCTTAATTATATTTAAATTAAGGTGTTTAAATATAAATAGGTTTAAACAAAAATAGAATTGAATTTTAATACTAATGATACTTAGGAGCTAGAGTATTTCAAACAAGATATAAAATTTATCTATTTCCTTGAGATTTATTTTATTATTTCTCTCTCTTTCTGTGTGTGTGTGTCTGTGTCTGTGTGTGAGTCTGTGTGAATATGAGCACACCGCAGAGGTCAGAAGAGGGCATCATTTCTTCTGGAGTTGTAGGTGGAGGTGGTTGTGAGCCACCCAGTGTGAAATGAACTCAGGTCCTCTTTAAGAGCAGCAAGAGCTCTTAACCACTGAGCAGCTGGCTGTGCTTCCAGAGGACAAAGGTTCTATTTTCAACATTCACATTGCAGCTCACAACAGTTTGTAGCTCTAGTTCCAGGGGAGCTGATGTCCTTTTCTAGCTTTTACGAGTACCAGGCATGCATATGGTGCATATACATACATCCAGGCAAACACTCATATGTATAAAAATAAATAAATATAAAAATCTCCATCCTTCTAGACTTTTATAAACATTAATGATATCATAAAATATTAAGACATAGTATTCAATATATTTTACCTCTCAGTTCAAGTTTTCCACGTACCGTAACAGACTTTAATATATCTTTTGACAAGCCATCCAGTAATTGAGCCCACTGACTTCCTTGACTCTAACAACTTCTATTTAAATTTTAGTTCTGCTTTTCTCATGCCATATATAGAACCTGTCATCTGGAGGTGGCATATTTTGGAAATTTAAATGTCAATATTCCAAACTTTTATTATCCCTTATTCTAAAAATACTTATTGGGCACATAGCTCCTGTTCTACCAACTAGAACGTGGCAGATTCATGCCCTCATGTAGCTCAGAATGTGACAAAAAGACAAAAGTATAAGCAATCATAAAATCAGGTTGTTATCCATACACAGCATGGATATCTAACCCACCTTGGGAGTTTAGGCCTTTTGGGGGTTCTAATGTCTTTGATGATTTGGAAAGAATAAATAGGATGTTTGTCAAATAAGCCAAAGCAAGGGAACAGAGGACAGTATCCCCAGTGGCTACTTCTTGAGTCCAGGGAGAACAGAGTGTGGAAGCCAGAGAATACATGGTCACAATGGGATTTACATTGGATCTGTCAACATTCAGATACTGTCTGCCTCTAAACCAAGAAGTATGTGCAAAGATTGACATGATAATTAGGAGACAAAATCGATAGACATTGGACTAGACATTAATCAGAGAGGAAGAAACATCAACAAGAATCCTATTTTGGGGTGACGTAGCTTAGTGGGTAAGGGCACTTGGAACTAAGCCTGGTGACCTGAGTTCAATTCCTGGACATGCCTCCCCTCCCACCATGGTAGGAAAGGACTCCTTCAAGTTTCTCTTATCACCCCAACACATGTGACATTGATATGTCCTGCCTCATGCACACACACACACACTAAATGTTTAAAAAATTTTTAAAGAATTATAGCTTGACTAACGGGATTGTGAGGTCTGTCATTTAGAGACACAGGAGCAATTTGGGAGACCAGCATGATGAGACCAGGACTCCAGGACTGGATCTTAGGAACCAAAGAGATATCAAGGTAGAGATGTATAGTAGATAGTTGGGTAAGTAAGTCTATGCTTAAGAGAGCTGTCTGATTTGGAAATAAAAATTGTCAGTCAAAGCAAGAGGGGGATGGGTGAAGCTTTAAGAATGGATGTGGTTACTCAAAGAACATACACAATGAGAGAATATTACTAAACATACTGAACTTTGATCTGGAGGCATTTGTTCTAATCAATGAATATTGCCATGGATTTAGTATGAGATGACAGTAGCTTTCCCTCCCAGCTCCTCACCAGAAGGAGCCAGGTGTAGATCTTCCATCAGGAAAAGGAGCGAGCTTTTGGAGTCCTGGTGATGACTGGGGGTTGTGTTGGCTTGTGTTTGGCCATGGACCCCTCTGCTCAGCAGGTGACGAAGGTGGGTAGAGCTTACTGCGGAGTGGATGGGGCTGTGAATGGAAGGGTGATTTGGCACCACAAGCACCTCCACAAAAGCCGACTTCCCTGTTGCCATCTCTCCAGCAAGCAGCACTGGCTGTCCATTTGATAGAAGCAGGTCCACCACGTACAAGAGCTGTTCTGTCTGCAGGGCAGAAGCAGGCTTAGTGCGCAGCTCCAGACAGGACAGTAGTCAAGCCAAAAATTAGGTCTAGGGAACTTGTCTTAATGACACATTTAAAAATCAGGCTGTGTGTTCTTGTAATTGTGGAAATATCACAGTATGGGAATAGTTGGGCCTCAGGAGGACCTCAAATACTGGCTACCCTCTGGCATAGCCCCTTAAGCCTCAACCCAAACTACTTCCTCACTGTCTTCATACCTGGGAAGAGGGCTGGAAAGTACCCAGACTTCCTCTGACATGGCTGCTCAGGTACTGGCCAGAGAAGGGGACCAGTGTCCCATCTTCAAGGTTCACATGTAGATCAAACACCAAGGCTGAAGGAGGTGGCTCAGGGTAGTTGGTCAGGGAACTAATAGAATTCCTCATGAAGTTATCAAAGAGAGGCCAGTGCCTGGTCAGAGGACATGCAGGTACAAGTCAGACAGTCTGAAAAGTTCTGTCTATGACATTCACATGCTCCACCATATCCCCACTGTAATGCCCATGAGGTTTATTTCCTGCAGGCCAGTCTATCTCAGCTCTTTGTATACCATGCATCCCATTCTCATGTTACCTGGAGGGAAGGTGGGATCCAAAGCCCCAGATTACGGCAAAAAGAAAGCTGCTGATAGCCAGTAAGTGTCTCCTCTGCTTTTTATTCACATTGCCACTGTCAGACTGGGGCCTCCTTTTTGGAAATTTGAAGCTCTGGGTCACAACATTGCTGCCACTGAAGTCCTCTGTAGTGGTCACCGTGATCAGAATAGGAATCCATATAGAAAAAGAAGATGGAAGGAAAAACAAAGGTTGGCTACATTACTTTTCTTCACTTTTAGTTCCCTGCACCAACTTCACCAAGGAACCTATGCTTGTGGCTCAGATGTAACACAGTTACCCTTAAGATCCCAGCTCTCTCAAAAGCCAACCTTTTTACCTTCCTACCTTGGGTGTTTGGCTTCTCCTCCTCAAATAAGCGTAAATGGGGGTCAAGTAGAGCACGCAAGATGCGGGCCAGGCTGGTAACCTCTGCCACACCCGGGCAAGCACCCTGATGTCCATGTACCTGTAGCAGAGAACTGGCACCTATGCAAGTCAGGAATCTGAACACTGAAGGCACCAGCACTTCAGCTAAATGGTTGAGCTCGGTGATTGTCTCTTGATGCAGGTGGTATTCATGGGGCAGAGAGGCCATCAAGACATTAAGCATGCACTGCCAAGTGTGCTCCCCACAACACCAGACTAGAGCACACCTGCCTACCACTGTAGGAGACATGCCTGCTGTGTCTGCCACCTCTATCAAGAAAAAGGTTCTCAGGGGTCTTGCTATCTGCTGGCCATTTGGGAGACTCAGCTGTGGAGGGTAACTCAGGAGGCAAGTGATGGAGTCTACCCATGCAGGGTTAGGGGCCCCGTCACATACTATCCATTGCTGGATCCCTGTGAATGTCTCTGACTGCCCTTCTGAGCTCACATAATTACAATGAGGGGAGGAACACAGGAGCCTGGGAAAGATGCCATGGTGCCAGGAGGGCCCTTCTGACCACCCTAGGAATTCTTGGGAGCTGAGCGCACTGGGATACAGGTGGGCGACTTCCACAGACTCGAGCCCCTGCTTCGAGGTGTGTTCCATGGCTGCCAGCCGATTCTGAATCTTAAATAAGCTCTTCCAACAAGTACTCTTGCCACTGCCCGCGGGGCCCAGGAGCAAAATGCCAGAGGTCCGGCTCAGGGCCTGACTGAGCTGCTCCAGAGACATCAATGTGTTAGGGGTGGGAAGCAGGCCTAACTGCTGGAGTTCTTCCACCATCACTGACCTCACCAGTCTGTGGGTCATAGGCTCTGCCAGCACATTGCTGGCATTAGGGAAAATCCCACAGAGCAGCTCTCGGAGCTTTTGCAGGCGGAGCCCATCAAGAATGCTGAACAGTGGTGAATGCAACAGGGCACGCAGTAGGGCAGTCTCCTCAGGGGAAGCTAGGTTGTGGAGTTTCTGGGACTTTTCTTCCTCAGTTGCATTTAGTGTCTGTATTGTATCTTCTAGTACCTGCTTAAGCAGTGACAAGCGGCAGGGCAAGGCCCCAGACACCAGCTCCCGCTCTAGGGAGAATAATTTGGATAGGCGAGTAGCCATGCGGGAGGCATCCTGCACGCCTGCTCCCAGGAGGTTCAGCTCTGCCACTCGCTGCAGGTCAGGCCATGTCAGGGCCACGGGACGCAGCAGCAGGTGCAGATTGGCAGGCACAGTAGGACTCAGAGCAGGGAACGTCAGGAAACAGCCGTACCCCAGGTGCATGGATACACAGTGATTCTCAAAGCAGCCAGCACCGATGAACAGGGGCTTCGCAGGGTTGATGGCACTGATGTTTTTGGAAGCGTTCCGGGCTAGTGGGGCATAACAATGGTGCAGTTCATCCAGACGTTGGCCCAGGGCAGACAGCAAGCTGGGAGGTAGGTGGTGAGCATCTTCCAAGAGCAGCCAGGCTCCACCCTGAAGGGCACCATTCAAGTAATTGCTCAAACATCGGAACTCTGTCTGGGGCAAGCAGGGCATTATTACCAGCTGGCGGCCCAGCGCCCATGCCAGGTTATTCACAGTTTCTGTCTTGCCCCAACCGTAGTGGCCTAGTAGGGTACCACAGGCCACCTCCTCCAGGGCCAATAAGAGAACCAAGACTTGCTGCTCATACATCAGGGTTGGTAGAGGCCCCAATTTGGGACCCAGGTACTCATAATTGTATATGAAGGACCGGCCCAGCACATCTACCCAGCATGTAGCTGGTGACAGAGAGGGCTCAGCAGATGCAATAGTCTTAAGACACTGCAGAGGGTTTTTGAGGTTCAAGTGAGATGAACCCAGGTGATACTTAAGTTGGCGGACCCAGTGGAAGTCTGTCAGATCACTGACCTGGTTCTTCTCCAGGAGTTGTGCTATATCCCTATGAGTCATTGCCATGACCAACAGGGTACTGAATAGGCTAGTCTGGCGAACAGAAGGCCGAAGATGCTCACCCTGGGAGTGCCTCTGAGCCCGTATGAATTGAACCAGTATCTCAAGCTTATGTACATGTACGGGACTCATACGTATGCTCCTACACTTAAGCAGAGCCTCCTCCATCTCAGCCCGCCACACTATCTGCTCTGCCACCAGTATGCACTGCCATGGAAAAACTTGGATGGCATCTAGCCAGTGCTGGACATACAGGTACATGGACACCTGTCTTTGTTGAGGCATTTCCTTCAATGTTTTAAGTAGGGATGGGCCTCGAGCAAGGCGGGTGGACACACAGCTCTGCAGCAGGTTCACCATTACAAAACGCAGGCACTTCTCCAAAGAGGCTAGCCACTTAGGAAGATCTGGATGCAGAAGAAGGGGCTCCTGAAGCTTCACTTCCTCTCCACATGCCCCTAGCACAGCAATTGTCTCCACAGGAGCCTCTGTATTTGAGCTCAAATCCTGGGAATTCTTCCTTTCCTCATCAGTTTCATTGGATTTGAATCTCACGGCTTTAATGTGAGGAAAGCAGCGCTGTGCCCATGGCTGGGCATCAGAGGTCTCTAGAGGGGCAGCCAGAAGGGCCACCAGTTCACTGTCACTGAGCAAGAAGAGGCGGGGGAATTGGGCACATACTCCATAGAGGACATCCTCCAGAGCCATGATGATGGCCTCCAGCTCCACAGCTCCTGCTTTCAGGAGTTGCTGGAGATGCTGGCCTTGGAAGTAAGGGCTTCTCTTGGCATTGGGTACTATAAGTGACAGAACCTTTGGGTCCGCTACAGAGATGTGCATTAGCATCCGATACTGATCATCCATGACCTTGAAACGGGCATTCTGTGGTAAGAAAGGTGATAAGTGAGGTGTATCGGGACAGCTCCACTCTTCTATCCCTCCCCTGATACTTGGGAGCCCCTTCCCACTCTGTTCTAACTCTCTTTCCTACCAGCTCAGCAGAAGGAAACTGGATCTTCATCTCATGTAGAACTTTATTCAGAAAAATCCACTTCTGCTGGAAAGCCACCCATACCTCCAGCAGAGCACCTGTGTGAGCAGTCAGAAAAATACTTGAAAGAGATTCTAACACCTTCAGGGGTTCCAGCATCTACTGACAGAAATGTACTGCTCAGCAGAACCCAGGGACCTTATTAGAGGAAGTAAACATTCACTGGAAATAAAAACCTGGTCACACTGAACCAAGAAGAGACCGGGAAAGTCCTTCCTCTGTCCTTCACATCTTCTGTTCAATGTCCACCTGTCACCCTCTGGGCCAGTCTACATCAGGTTCTACCCATCTGCCCAGCCAGAGCCATGTACTCACCCAGGCCATACATGATATTCACCCACTCTAAAGCGGTCTTATGCAAGTCTCCTGACTTTTGGATGGCTAAGATCTTGAGTAGTGCCTGGAGACTGTTCTGGATGGCATCTTGCAGGCTGCTGTAGTCTAAGGAAGAAAAGGATGCCCTGAACCAAGTTCAGCTAAGCTGGTATCATTCTATGTGAGTCAAGGGCAGAGACTGGGCAGGAAAGAGAACATCTTGACCTTCCTGGGGAGTTAATTACCTCAATACCGTTCTATCTTCAAAGATTCCACCAGTCCATAGTGTTGATATGTTGGAGAACTGAGTTTTCCGTTTTGGTTTTTTGTTGTTGTTTTGTTTGGTTGGTTGGTTGAGGATTTTTTGTTTTTCTTTGTTTGTTTTTGAGATAAGCTTTCTCTGTGTAGCCTTGGCTGGACTCACTTTAGAGACCAGGCTGGCTTCAAACTCATAGAGATCCACTTGCCCCTACCTCCCCAAGTGCTGGGATTACAGCCGTGCACCACCACACCCCCAGCTGAGAAGTAGTATCTTAAAACAGGCGCCGTGGACAGACTCTACACCAGCTGACTTCTTCTGCTACATGTTGTCATTATTTTGTTTGTTTTTGTTTTGAGACAGGGTTTTTTCTCTGTGTATCCTTGGCTGTCCTGGCCCAAACTGGCCTTGAACTCCCAGAGATCCACTTGCCTTTGCCTCCTGAGAGCTAGGATCAAAATGCGGTGTGCCACCACTGAGGGGCTTATATTGTCATTCTTATTTAGTTCTGTAGACATTCATTAAGACATCAGAGCCTTCATCCTAGAAAGAGGGCTAATGGCGCCAAGTCCTGACTATGCACACAGCAAAAATGCCCATTCTGAGATGACTGGGACCCTGGTAGAAAAGTTGAGACCAAATGTTTTTCTCATGGTATTAGCACTTAGCTCCTTTGTGCCACTTAAAAAGAGTTTTCCCACAATTTTTTTGTGTGAGACCAGGCCTGAGTAAAGCACAGATACTACCTAGATTAACAACTGAACTGAGTGAGATTGATTTGGATAGGTGTAGGACTCTCTAAATACCTATGTTTGAAAGAAAATACTCAGTATCTTCATCTCAGAATGTCTCTAGAAAAAACAATATTGGAACAGTTTGGGTCCTCTATTTTATCCCCCTTTAAATGACCACCAAACCATGGGGAAGCTTAAAAGCCCATCTGCTGTGCTTGTCTAAAGAATATGGAACAGACTACAAATCCTTAAAGTTACCTGAGAGCTTATATGTCTTATTTCCTTTATACCTGCCCCAGACCTCAGTCAGATTCTCATTTGACCTTGAGAAGGTTGAAGAGGTTGTGGGAAGTCTTAACCTAGCTATGTCTGCCAACGTATGTTATACTTAAAAAGAAACATTCCTTGGGGATATTTTAGATGTTGAACTAGCCTTTTCATATATGTCCTTGTTCTTATTTTTCTAAGAGTCTAAAGGGGAGAGTGAATGGTTACTCATGTCACCCCTACAAGAACATAGCTTCCTGGGTTAAGATTTAAATACACAAGGTTCCATTATCTTGGCCTCATTCAGGCAAGTGATGTTACTAGTTTCACAGTGTATGGCCACCACAAAATGTATCCTTGATTACTGCACCCAGAGCTGATGCAGAAGCCTAGTACAGGGAAAGACGACACTTAGGGAGGAAAGTCAAGCACACAGCACTCTGTAAGTCGGAGCCGGAGGGGCAGTGGGACAGAAGGTAGACTGAGGACTGTGAACGTGAGTGAAACTGAAAGAGTTCACTTGGTACCTGAAGTTATACTTAGAGGTGGCCCAAGAACAAACTAGCCATGGTATGTACTCCACTAGTTTTTAAAATTACTTTAATAGCAGAGGAACCTAAGGGTAGAAAAGGAAAGTAGGATAGAACAAAGAGAAGCAGATGGGCAAAGTGTGGAACCATGGTCAAACATGAGCAAAACAATCAGCATAAAATGTGCTTCTGTCAAAAGTAGGAAGAAAATGTCTATTGTATCATAGTCTAAGTATTAACTAGAGATTAATATGTTTCAGTTAACACTTAAAATGATTAGCTCTAAATAATAAGAGATGTGAACAAGAAGTCCATGTAAAAATAGATAGAAAAGGTTTTCCAAACCAAATACTGTACATGGATAAGGATTCTATTATAATGGAAAAGCCATATCCTAGGGGTGAGTGTGGTGGCACACACCTTTAATCCTAGATTTTGGGAGGCAGAAGCAGGCAGATCTATGTGAGCTGGGAGGCCAGCCTTGTCTACATAGAGAAACTGTCTCAAAAAGAACCAGAAGAGGAGGAGGAGAAAGCCATATTATTCTACGACAGATTTGCATCAGCTATATATTTTGCCCAGAGAGACTCATAAATAGCCCAAATCCATCTACTTTTCTCATTCTCCGCTGCTACCATCCTAGTGTAGGCCATTATTGTTTTTTTTATTTGAGTTACACCATTTGTCTTCCAGCCTCTATTCTTTGCCTTTCAATCTCTGTAATGAACTAAAATCTGACTTACCACTTCCCTGTAACAAATATTCTCTATGATTTAAATGTTACTGAACAAATTCTTTTGCATGATCTGACTTCTCTAACTTCATTGTCTATTTCCTGTTCCAAGCAGTCTTTGGGTTCTAGAATCAGTAAGTTGGAAGGCCCTCTATATCATAGATATACTGACCATATAAAGTTTTGTTGCTGTGATGAATTGCCTGGCATACATAACAAGGGAGAGATTTATTTTAGTTCATAGTCTCAGAGGTCTTGCCAATCGCTGTGGGGAAGTTTACATCATGGTGGCCAGGAAACAGAAAAAATGGGAAAATGGGAAGAGCCAAAGCAAGATGTGGCTCTCAAGACACATAGCCAGTGAACCACTTCCTCAGTTAGGCCTCATCTCCTGCTTTCTAACACCCAACATTGCCATTGCATCCTGAATTCATCAGGCAATTAAACCCTTAGGATCCTATTACTTCCCAAAAGCCCATTAGATGGCCATCAAAGCCACAATACATGAGCAAGAGGGAGACATTGCATAATTCAAACCACTACTATGGTACTGACTAATGATCAAACTCCAATAGAACCTCATAAATCTCAAGCTATTCTTTAGAAGATTCCAACATTTTTGCTCCAAGTTAAATCATATGCCTGATTAAATTCAACTTAAATGAATATGTTTGAAAAACCTGTGAGTTATGTCACAATTTCAACTAAATAATATAATCTAACAATGCTGCTTCAAGCTGGGTGCAGTGGCGCACACCAGTAATCCAGGCACTCGGGAAGGCAGAAGCAGGCAGAACTGTATGAGTTTAAGGCCAGCCTGATCTAAAAAGCGAGTCCAGGACAGCCAAACCGTGTCTCAAAAAAAAAAAAAGTTGCTGTTTCTATGGGAACTGTAGAAGGCTTTGATAAAGATGAGTTCATAAAAAGTCCTTAGGAAAAAATGTTAGCAAGTAAGTGTGCACGCATACATTTAGCTAAAGTAAAAATCTCAAGTCCTAATTTCCTTCCCAGCCGATTTTTCTTTTGTATGAAGAAGGAAATTTCATATTCAGCCACTGCTGAAGGAGTTCCCTGGTAGAATTTTTAGGGTCACTTATGTATAATATCATATTACCTGTGAATAATGATACTTTGACTCCTTCCTTTCTAATTTGTATCCCATTGATCTCCTTTAGTTATCTGATTGCTCTAGCTAAAACTTCAAGTACTATGTTTAATAGATACAGAGAGAGCAGACAGCCTTGTCCTGTCCCTGATTTTAGTGGAACTGCTTTAAGTTTTTCTTCATTTAAACAACACCCTTTTCAATAGCCACAAATAATATAAAATATCTTGCTGTAATTCTAACCAAGCAAGGACTTTTGCTTACATGACAAAAACTTCAAGTCTTTGAAGAAAGAAATTGAAAAAGATAACAGAAGATGGAAAGATCTCCCATGCTCATGGATTGGTAGGATTAACATAGTAAAACTGGCCATCTTGCCAAAAGCAATCTACAGATTGAATGCAATTCCCATCAAAATTCCAACACATTTTTCTTATCAGACCTTGAAAGAACAGTTCTCAACTTCATGTGGAAAAACAAACAAACAAACAAAAAAAAAAAAAACCAGGATAGATAAAATAATCTTACACAATAAAAAAAAAAAAATCAAGTATCACCATCCCTGATATCAAGCTGCACTACAGAACATGGTACTGGCATAAAAACAGACTGGTTGATCACTGGAATCAAATCAAAGATCCAGAAGTAAACCCACACATCTATGGATACTTGACATTTTTTTAACTTTTATTAATTACACTTTATTCATTTTGTATCCCCCCATAAGCCCCTCCCTCCTCCCCCCCCGTGCCCCCCCGCCCCCCCCCCCTTTCTGCATGCATGCCCCTCCCCAAGTCCACTGATAGGGGAGCTCCTCCTCTCCTTCTTTCTGATCTTAGTCTATCAGTTCTCATCAGAAGTGGCTGCATTGTCAGGGTTCTAGGTTATCTCCACGGATAGTCCTTGGTTGGAGTATGAGTCTCTGGGAAGTTCCCTGTGTGCTACAGAGGGCCTCTGAAAGCCAGAAGAAGAAAACAGGAAACAACCTCGGAACCTGCCACAGAGGGCCTTTGAAAGCCTCTGCCGTGCAGACTGTCAAAGCAGATGCTGAGCCTGATGGCCAACTGACGGGCAGAGTGAATGGAATTTTATGTAAGAAGTGGGAAATAGTAAGAGCTGGAGAGGACAGGAACTCCACAAGGAGAGCAACAGAACAAGAAAATTTGATACTTGATTTTTAACAAAGAAGCCAAAACTGTACAGTTGGAAAAAGAAAGCTTCTTCAACAAATGATGCTGGTCTAAGTGGATATCTGCATGTAGAAGAATGTAAATAGATCCATATCTGTCACCGTGCACAAAACTCAAGTCCAAGTGGATCAAAGACCTCAACATAAAGTCAGATACACTAAATCTCATAGAAGAGAAAGTAGGAAATAGCCTTGAATGTATTGGCACGTGAAACAACTTCCTGAACACCAAAGGGGCACCAACAGCTCAGGCACTAAGATCAACATTTAAAAAATGGGAGCACATGAAACTGAAAAGCTTCTGTAAGGCAAAGGACACTGTCAAAAGGACAAAATGGCAGCCTAAAGAATGGGAAAAGATCTTCACCAATACTACATCTGACATAGGGCTGATATCCAATATAAAGAACTCAAGAAATTAAACATTACTCAACCAAATAACCCAATTTTTAAAAATGGGGTACAGAGCCAAAACAGAGAATTCTTGACAGAGGAATCTCCAGTGGCAGAGAACTTAAGGAAATGTTCACCATCCTTAGTCATCAGGGAAATACAAATAAAAATGGCTCTGAGATTCCATCTTACACCCATAAAAATGGCTAAGATCAAAAATACAAGTGATAGCTCATTCTGGTGAGGATGTGGAGTAAGGGGAACACTCCTTCACTGCTGGTGGGAGTGTAAGCTTATACAAACACTTTGCATATCGATTTGGTGGTTTCTTAGAACATTAGGAATAGTTCTACCTCAAGACCCTTGCAGGCAAATGGATGGAACTAGAAAAGATCCTCCTGATCATTCTGAAGTAACCCAGGCCCAGAAAGACAAACATCATATACACTCACTTATAAGCTGATATTAGCCATAAAGTACGGGATAACCGTACTACAATCCATAGACCCAAAGAAGCTAAGTAGCAGTGAGGGCCTGAAGGGGAGAAACTTGAGTTTCACTGAATAGTGGAAATAAAATAGACTTGGGTGTGTAGAGAGGGTGTGATCTAGTGGGGAGAGGATGGAGGGAGAGAGTAACAGGAGAGAGAACTGGAATCAGTGGGGGGGGCATCTCTGGGAGAAGCTGAAACCTAGGACAATGGAGACTTTCAGGAATCAATGAGTGTGACTCTAGCTAAGACTCCTGGCAACGCGGGATATGGAACCTGAAATGGCCATCTCCAGTAACCAGATAAGACTTCCAGTAGAGGGACTGGGTCATCAACCCATCCACAAAACCTTCGGCTCACAATTTGTCCTGCCTACAAGATGTGCAGGGGTAAAGATGGAACAGAAAGTGAGGGAATGGCCAACCACTGAGCATTTTGAAACTCATGCCGTGGGAGAGAACCCACCTCTGACACAATGACATTCTGCTGTACTTGTAGACAGGTGACCAGAATAACTGTCATCTGAGAGGCTTCACCTAGCAACTGATGGAAAATGATGTGGAGACCCACAGACAGACATTAGGTGGAGCTCAGGGAATGCTATGAAAGAGGGTGGGAAAGGAGCCAGAGAAGTCAAGGACACTACAAGAAAACCTACAGAATCAACTACTCTATACCCACAGGGGCCCACAGGGACTGAACCACCAAACAAAGAAAATACATGGGATGGGCCTACACCCTCTACACACATGTAGCAGTTGTGCAGCTTGACATGTGGACTCTAACAGCAAGAGCTCTAAGGAGCAAAAGCTGCATCTGACTGTTTCCCGCCTTTGGATCTCTCTCCCCAAAATGGGCTGCCTTGTCTAACCACAATAGAGGAAGATGTGCCTAGTCCTACTGCATGCAACCTGATTTGCCAAGGTGGGCTGATATCCATGGGAGGCCTCCCCTTTTTTTAAGGAGAAAGGGAGGACTGGAGGATGGGGGGAAGGGGAGGTGAGAGAGAGCGAGGGACTGAAAAGAGAGGAGGGAAGGAAAGCTGTGATCAGGATGTAAAGTAAATAAATAGATTAATGAAAAAATAAAATAAGCTAGGAGTTGATGATATACGCCTTTAATCCCAACACTCAGGGAGGCAGAGGCAGGAGGATCTTTGTGAGTTTGAGGTCACCCTGGTCTACAGAGTGAGTTTCAGTACAGTCACAAAAACAGTCCCTCTTTCAAAAATGATAGATGATAGATAGATAGATAGATAGATAGATAGATAGATAGATAGATAGATAGAATATAAAATGTCTCAAGTCCTATTTACCTACCTATAATGATTATATATTTAACTAATTTCTTGGATTCACTGATCTGATACCAGTTACATTGGATAAGAGAATTTCTGTACTAGCAATTCCCACATATCTTCTTGGATGTTTTTTTGTCAGCTTCAGTTCTCAACTTGACACATCTGGAAAGAGAGACTTCACCTGAGGAATTACCTCAATTTGTGGGCATGTCTGTGGGCACTTTGTTTGTTTGTTTTTGTTTTTCGAGTCAGGGTTTCTCTGTAGCCATGGCTGACCTGGAATTCCTTTTGTATACCAGGCTGGCCTTTTCTGCTTCTGCCTCCCTGAGTGCTGGGATTACAGGCATTGCACTATCGTGCTGGTTGATGTAGGACCCAGCCCACCATGAGCAGCACCATACTGAGGCAGCTGTACCTTAGCTATATATGAGAGGTAACTGAGGAAGCCAGCCGGTAGCACTCATTCTTCCGTGGTCTTCGCTTCCTTCCTGTCTCTAGATGCCTGCTTTGAGTTCTAACCTGGGTTTCCCTTGATGATACAATAATCCCTGATTGTTTCTCTGATTAGCCAAATAAACCCTTTCTTCCCCTACGTTGTAAAAGTGTTGTTCCCTACATGGCATGCTTTTCTCACCTTGCAAGTCTAACACTCTTACTTCTTCAAAAGTTAGCCTGATGCTGCTGCCTATGTGATTCTTCTCTTAATATTTCTGGTTGAGCTGGTCTTCTCTGACCTACTGTTCTCAGAATGGTGGTCTGTCATGGATTTAGATGTGTGGTATTGTCAGCTTCTCATTGGGATGTGAGATAGGGCTACATCTCTGAATCTCAGAGTGCCTTGTGTTTGGCACAAAAGAGGATCGTGAACATAATGAGAGGAAGGATAAAAGAAAGAATGGTTCTTTTGTCTTCAACAAGGTGACCAATTGACAGATCTTTGCAGATCTTTGTAAAGACCCTGATGGGCAAGACCATCACCTTCAAGTTTGAGCTCAGTGACACCTTGACACCAAAGAGATTGTCAAGTCAAGGTCCAAGACAAGGAAGGTATTCCACCTGACCAGCAGTGGCTGGTATTGCTGGTAAGCCCCTGGAGGATGGCTACACTCTACCTGGCCTCAAGATCTAGAATGAGTACACCCTGCACCAAGCGCTGTCCCTGCATGGTGGCCTCACTGAGGAATCCCTTGGTCAGCCCACCCAATACAACTGCCACAATCTGCTGCAAGTGCTATGCGTGCCTGCAACTCCGTGTAGTCAACTGTCACAAGAAGTGTAGCCATACCAACAACCTGTGCCCCAAATTAAGGTCAAATAAAATGGGAGCCCTGAGTGGCCATGGCTCAGGACCAGTAGAGTCTGCTTCTGTCAACTGGGGAAGGAAGGAAGGAAGGAAGGAAGGAAGGAAGGAAGGAAGGAAGGAAGGAAGGAAGGGGAAAAGAAAAAAGATAAAATCAGAATGGTAAAAATCCAGAGGACAGAGCATTAACAGGTGGAGAGAAATAACTACAAGGAATGTGTTTTAAGATGTATTTTATTTTACATGTATAGGTGTTTTCATGTATGCATGTGAATCTGCCTGACACCTGTGGAGGCCAGCAGAAGGCACTGGGTTCCTGTACTAGAGTTACAGATGTTTGTGAGGCACCATGTGCTGCTGGGAATTAAAACACAGTTGTTAAGTGCTCTTAACAACTGAGCCATCTCTCCAGCCCCATGAGCAATTTTTTTGGGCTGGCCAGATGGCTCAGCCAGTAAAAGGTACCTGCCACTGCCAAGCCTGGTGACTTACGTTGGATGCCCTGGAGTTATATGGTAGAAAGAGAACCAACACCAGCAGGGGCAGGTTGTCATCTGATCTCAGTATACATAACATGGCATACAAAATAATTTCCTAGTGCACCAGAAAAGGAACTTTGCTGAAGAAGCCAGCATTGAACATAGGAAAGAACTTGTGTGTAAATGCTTCCTGCAGAGATTAAAGATGGGACCTTACTACAGGACCCATATTTGACAAGAATTGGTAGATGAAAAGAGCCGTTAGCTGAAGATAGTCATGGGAGCATAAAGGCTGAGACTCACCTGAGAGGAGGAAGGTGCCACTGTCCTTGCCCACCAACTCCCACTGGGGGCTTTGGAATGCCTGTGTTTTGGAATGCTCTGAGTCTGGAGTCTTGTAGGGCACATGCAAGGTGAAGTTGAGCAGGCGCAGCTGGCGCCTCTCCCAGTACTGCTGCATTTGCTGTAGGATTTCTTGGGCATGGATTCGTTCTTTGTTAGTCTGCCAGACCTGGAAAAGGAATGTCTCAGAAACCACAACTGGCTAGGGGCTCAGGGAGGACAGCCTTGAAACTGGGAATTCAAGATTGGGTCTGAGGCAAATTTCCACCTAGAGAGAGGAAGTCTCAGAGATGAGGAGTGGGACCAGCAGGCTTCAGTGGTGAGCTGGCGGCAGCAGCAGCTGCAGACTATTAATGCTTGGTCCAGTACTGCTGCTTCCTCTGAGCAGCCTCCTGGATGGCTCCCACCGAGTAGACAATACCCTAGTCAGCCTGTGCCCTTTTGGGATCAATTAAATGCTGGCAGACATCTGTCAGTCTGTGTGTCCCGGCTTTGAGGCTGTCGTCATTTCTTCCCACAAGAGGAAGCATTTAGTTTGATGAGTCTGCACCTGCCCGTCAGATCCTCACCTGTAGATGGATGAAGACTCTTCCTACCCTCCAGGAAGGTCTTTAGTCCCAACTTCCCTCTCACCTACATGCCAGCCACTGTCCCCATAGCCCAAGGGACACTGCTAGGCCTTGACTGACTTTATTATAAGTTTTGGCTCCAACCACCTCCTTCCCTTCCTGTGGACCCACCTGATTGATTCGTTCTGCAAACTCCAGCAGTGGACAGTTGAGCAGCCGGCCAAGGGTGAGAAGTTTCAGGTTTTGGAGACCTCCCAGCCCTAACGCTGGGATAGAACAGAGTAGTCAGAACAACACCCAGCACATGGCTGAACTGCACTCATATCCCTGAGCTTATTTCTACCCTGAGCCCAGACTAGCTTGGACCACAGTGCAAGATCAGGAGTACAACCCAGAGCCAAGAACTCAGAGGCCAAGGTCCAGGGCACGACTCAAGCCCAGATCTGAGATTGCAGCCTGTGCCCAATCCCCATTGGTTGAGAGGACCCTGTATTGTAATGAGGGAGCAAAGAAATATGTTACCTCTGATTGAAAAGAGCTTAATATATGTGGGAAAGACGGGAGGAGGAGCAATGTTTCTAGCAGGAGCAGCAGGGAATTGCAACAAACACTGTTTTTTTCCTCATCCCTCTACCAAACACACCTCTCAAGAGAGCTTGGCAATTGAAGTTCTGCAGCTGGAAGTTGCTCAGCTTGGTGAGCAAGGGCAGGTAGCTTCCAAACTCCTTGAGCATGCGCATGCAGCGCTGTAGCACAGGGCTCTGCAGTCCCAAGGTTGTGCTGAGCCGCGCAGCCTCTATCAGCCAGGCTTCTATCTTCTCCCGGGCCATAGAAAGGTTGAACTGCAGAGAGGAGAGCTCATCGCCAACCTGGCGCCCTCCCACCTCCACCTGCCAATTTCTGCCCCAGGAGGAGTGTCAGCACCTTGGAAAAAGCCATGCACTTCCACTCGCTGAAGTTTTCAGAGATGATTCGGTAGAGCCGCCAGATGCGCTGTTGCTGTACTATAGGCCGGCTCCCAGAAGCGGGTGGAGTCACAGGACTCTTATCCCCTGTGGAATAGGGCTGGCTGAGACTTGGGTTGTTAGAGGAATGGGTTAGTCAAAAGCCCTTAATGAGCAAAAGTCCAGAAAAAAAGATGAGGTATGCTTATGTAAGTCCCTCAGTTCAGCAGTGGAAATGGGGCCACACAAAGAGCAATCATTTCAAAGAAAGGAGTCCTAGGGAAACACCATATTTTATTTATTAAAAAATAAAACAAACAGACAGACAACAGGGAGGGGAGAGGGATCCCTTCTATTACAGTCTCTACTTAGTCACTCAAATCCAGCCACAGTGGACTTGACGATAGCTCAGCTCTATAGCAGGCATACTACCTTTTGCCGGAGCCTTTGACCTGCAGTTCATTCTCTATAGAACTCTTGCCACAGAGTTCTCCACCACTTGCCACCACTCACAGCTTCACCACCTCCAACTCCAAGTCCTTGCCCAAACAGTACCTTCTTCATGAGGCCTATGCAGACTATCCCACAAAACAATGGTCTCCAGCCATTTGGAATTTTCAGACACTCTTGCTTGTTTTGCTACTTTTTTTTTTCTAGGTTACCTATCACTTTCTAATATGCTAATTTAGTTTATTATAATTACTAATTTATAATTATTATTCAGCATCTTTCTTCTCCAGCTGCAATATTGGGTCCATCACAGAAGGTATTTTGCCATTTGTTCATTGATGTACTTTGAGCTCAGCACATAGCAGACACTAAGCAAGTAAGTGTTGAATGAATGAATAAGTGAATAAACTCCCAGAAATTGAGGATGGTTACTAAATCATCGGGCTCTAATATACTAGATTGTTTTTACAAAAACTGGGATTAGGTGAGGAGTTGGTGACAGAAGAAATGAACATACTGTTATGCAGTTCCCTGGGCCTAGGTGGGCCTGGACCACATGGCCTAGGTCCTCTACCCTGCTTTTCCACCAATACTCCAAACTCCTAACAGAAAGGATCAAGTCTAAGGTTGACATCAGTTAGAATATGGACTGAAGGCTTCTCAGTACTCCAGAAAAAAAAAGAAAGAAAGAAAGAAAGGAAAGAAAGAAAGAAAGAAAGAAAGAAAGAAAGAAAGAAAGAAAAGAAAGTTACTGATATAGGATGTTTCTAGGGTCCCCAACTAGCCGAAAGGTCCAGTTGAGAGCTGACCCTTACAATGCATCCTCTCAAGAGAAAAGTGACTGCACAAGAGGAAAAATGCAGAAGGGAAGCAGCCTCGCTGCAGTCCTGCAGAGGAGGGCTGGGTTCAGCCCAGTCGCCCTGTCCTGCTCTCATCCTGTGGGATAGTGAAGCTGTCACCAGTCTCTTTTCTAGGTAATGTTGGCTGGAGGCAGTGGTTACCAACCACATCAAGATCTTATCTTGCCTGTTCTTATCTATGACCTGCTGCTTGAAATAGGACAACACTGACCACGGCTACACAAAGGCTAAATTTTACAGTGAGTGTACACAGAATCAGCATTTAATCCCAGCCCTATCACATTTGAATGAAACGTTCAGCTGTTGGCTTTCCGTTCCAGACTGTGAACTCCCCGTACCCAACTAATATAACACCTAGGACATACAACCAGTGAGGCTTTTGTCCTGCAATATTTGTTTGACCAGTGGAGGTATGTGATCCCTGAGGCTTGCTTAAGATCACAGAAGACACAGGACCCAGCCCTTATCTCAGTTGGGGAGTCCATCCCAGGATCAAAGAGGATAAGGTGAGGATCAGTACCAGTGAAGGTGACATAAGCATGGCATAGGCCATTGAAGTTGTCAACTGTGTGCAGGAACTGATGCTCCAAGGCAGCAAGCTGGTGCTCAGTGTTCCTCTGCTCTTGTGAAGGATCCATGAAGGGACCAGACAAGGCCTTCTCCAGCAGGCCTTCCAGCTCTCCTAATGCCGATGCAATCAGCTGCTGCAGCCTGGGCACAATGGAATTTCGCTTGCTGAGCAGGAACTCTGAAGCCTGGCTTCTCTCAAACTGAAATGTCTCCCACATATCCAGAAGCTGTAGGGCAAGCAGAGAAATGTGAGGTGTGGTTATAGAAGAGGGAGGCCAGGACAGTTGAATGAATCCTTGAATTGTTCTCTCACCGAGATGTCTAGGGTCTCATTTTCAGCGATGAAAAAGTCACAGTGGTTGCGGATGAGTTCATGAAGTGACCTGACATATTCTACTTGCTCCTCTAGCTGGCCATATTGCTCATTGGCTTCATTCAACTGCAGAGGTTACAGCATGAGATCAGCACCCCAACAACCCTCAAGAAGCAATCTCATCTTCCAGAATAGGGATCTGGAGACTCCAGACCCAGCTTCAGCCTTTAAACCATTTGAGATTAAGAGGGTTATCTAAAATCAGAATCCTTTCTGAGTCAGGTCTTAAAGGCTGTCTAGTTATTATCTCCCAGACCTGATGATAGGGCAAGATATCCCTAACTGACCAGCTTTCTCAAGGTATGAAACCACATTTCTTAAAGCGGTGGTTCTCAACCTTCCTAATACAGTTTCTAGTGTCGCAGTGACCCTCAACCATAAAATTATTTTTGTTGCTACTTTGTAACTATAATTTCACTACTGTTATGAATTATAATATAAATATCAGATATGGAGAATATCTAATCGTGACCCCTGTGAAAGGGTTGCTTGACCCCAAAGAAGTCGTGACCTACAGTTTGAGAACCACTGTCTTAAGAAAGAGTCGATCTTGTTTCTTTGGGTTTTGCTCCTAACATGAGGAAGCACAGCACTACACAACCAGGGCAAGAATCAGAAAGGACAGATGACATACGTAAGCATTGTTTAATATCCTTAAACCCCATAAAGAGCTCAACAGATATCTAAAGAAGAGTGTGCTGAGCCTTTGAGCAGGCTAGGCCCTGCATATACGAAGAAGAAAGATGAGGAACACTCACTTTTTGGGAGCATTTTGCAATGGTATGAATGTCTGAGTTGATGGCTTGGAAGACCCGCAAGAATTCCGTCAGCTCTGTCATAAGCTTATGATTACGGCTCCAGCATTCACTTTGCACCTGGTCAAGAATGCTCTTCCTTGTGTTATTTAACTTAGATTCTGATAACAAGGTAATATGGTGTTAGAGGATGTGTAGAAAATAAGTATGTAAGCATTAGTGTACAAGAGTGACTGGACAAGACAGGAAGTTTCCTCATAATATGACAAGAAAGGTAAGCACTTGAACATAAAATGAACATAAAGAGACAATCATAGGGGGTTCTTAGTGTGCTAAATCCTCTTGAGTTGCCTAGAGCCTCCAGCCCAGCATAGTGAAGGGAAGGGGGCCCTGAAAAGGCTTGAGGAGGCCTCTGCCGAGGAAAAATGAGTAAAGCTACCTTTTTCTGTTTCTTTTGTTTGTTTATTTGTTTGGTTTGGTTTTTTTTTTTTTATTTCATTAAAGGCTTTATTGGGAATGAAATTTTTTTTCCTTTTTTAATTATTTTTATTATTAGTTACATTTTGTTAACTCTGTATCCCAGCTGTATCCCGCTCCCTCATTCCCTCCCAATCCCACACTCCCTCCATCATTTCCCTGCCCCTTTCCAAGTCCACTGATTGGGGAGGACCTCCTCCCCTTTCATCTGACCCTGGTATCAGGTATCTTCAGGACTGGCTGCAAAGTCCTCCTCTGTGGCCTAGCAGGGCTGCTCCTCCCTTGGGGGGGTAGGGAGGTCAAAGAGCCTGCCATTGAGTTCATATCAGAAATAGTCCTTGTTCCCCTTACTAGGTAAACCCACTTGGATACTGAGCTACCATGGGCTGCATCTGAGCAGAGGTTCTAGGTTATATCCATACATGGTCCTTGGTTGGAGAAAAAGTCTCATATAAGACCTCTGTGCCCAGATATATTTGGTCCTTGTGGAGCTCCTGTCCTCTCCAGGTCATACTAACTCCCCCTTCTTTCATATGATTCCCTGCACTTTGCCGAAGGTTATGAAATTTGGAGGCAAATGGTGGGATCTAGAAAAGATCATTCTGAGTGAAGTATCCCAGAAGGAGAAAGACACACATGGTATATACTCACTTATATAGACCTATAAATATGATAAACATAATTGAAATCTATACACCTAAAGAAGATAAACAAGAAAGAAGACCCGGGGTAAGATCAATCTTCACTTAGAAAGACAAATGGGATGGGCATTGGACGTAGGAGAAAACAAGTAACAGGACAGAAGCCTACCACAGAGGGCCTCTGAAAGACTCTACCTAGCAGTGTATCAAAGCAGACATTAAGGTTTGGTTTTGTTTTGTTTTTCGATACAGAATCTTACTATCATGTACCACCAATGCCAGCATGAGCTTCTGCAGATTTAAGAAGAACAGTTCAAGTGAACATAGGGTTGGAAGATAATCTGCACTTAGTAATATGAACAAATTCATCATCTCAGGAAGCAGGAATAACGGTGCTGTAGAGATGTCTCAGATGGGTAAAGGTACTTGCCAGCAAGTCTGACAACCCGAGTTCAAGCCTCAGCGCCCAAATGGTGGAAGAAAAGAACTGACTGTCTTGAATGTTCTTTGACCTTCATACCAACACACTTATGCTTGTGCACACATGCACCATGACATATGAATACACACACATACACTAAATATATAAATGTAATTTTTGTGTTTTTTAAGGACTTATTTTATTATTTATACTCCATTCTGCCTGTGTGTGTGCCTGTGTACGAGAAGAGGACACTAGATCTCACTATAAATGATTGTGAGCCACCATGTGGTTGCTGGGAATTGAACTCAGGACCTTTGGAAGAGCAGCCAGTGTTCTTAACCCCTGAGCCATCTCTCCAGCCCCATAATTTTAATTTTTTATTTTTATTACTTTTAATTGTGTATTTTGTGTGTGGTGGGGGCATGTGCATGGAATTGTAGGTACCCATCTTACAAAAAACAATATACAGAGTCAATGCAATTCCCATCAAAATACCAACACAATTCTTTACAGACCTTGAAAGAAAAATTCTCAGCTTCATATGGAGAAACAAAAAAAACCCAGAATTTCCAAAATGATCTTGTACAACAGATCATCTGGAGGTATCTCCATCTCTGATATCAAGCTGTACTAGCAATACTAATAAAAACTGCATGGTATTGGCATAGAAACAGAATGGTGGATCAATGGAATCAAATAGAAGACCCAGAAATAAACCCACACACCTATGAATACTTGATTTTTGACAAAGAAGCCAAAACCATTCAATAGAAAAAAAGATAGCATCTTCAACAAATGGTGCTGGTCCAACTGGATGTCTACATGCAAAAAAATGCAAATAAATCCATATTTATCACCCTGCAAAACTAAAGTCCAAGTCTATCAAAGACCTCAACATAAAACCAGACACACTAAACCTGTTAGAAGAAAAAGGAAAGAGCCTAGAACTCATTGGCACAGGAGACAACTTCCTGTTGAACACCAAGAGCACAGGCTCTAAGTGCAAAAATCAATAAATGGGACCTCATGAAACTGAAAGGCTTCTGTAAAGCAAAGGGCACTATTATCAGAACAAAATGACAGCCTACAGACTGGGAAAGGATCTTCACCAACCCTATATCTGACAGAGGACTAATATCCAGAATATATAAAAAACTCAAGAAGTTAAACAGCAACAAATCAAGTAATCCAACTAAAAAATGGGGTACAGAGCTAAACAGAGTTCTCAATTGAGAAATAACGAATGGCATAGAAACACTTAAAGAAATGCTCAACGTCACTAGCCATTAGGGAAATGCAAATCAAAATGACCCTGAGATTTCACCTTACACCCATCAGAATAGCTAAGATCAAAAACTCAAGTGACAACACATGCTGGAGAGGTTGTGGAGAAAGGGCAACCCTACTCCATTGCTGGTGGGAATGTAAACTTGTACAACCACTTTGGAAATTAATTTGGTACTTTCTCAGACAATTAAGAATAGTGCTACCTTAAGATCCAGCTATACCACTCCTAGGCATATATCCAAAAGATGCTCAAGTACACAACAAGGACATTTGCTCAACCATGTTTATAGCAGCTTTATTCCTAACAGCCAGAACCTGGAAACAACCCAGATGTCCCTCAATGGAACAATGGACACAGAAATTGTGGTACATTTACACAATGGAATGCTACTCAGCAATTAAAAACAAGGAAATCATGAAATTTGGAGGCAAATGGTGGGAACTGGAGAAGATCATCCTGAGTGAGCTATCCCAGAAGCAGAAAGACATACATGGTATATATACTCACTTATAAGTGGATATTAGGCATATAATATAGGATAATCATACTAAACTCTGTATACCTAAAGAAGCTAAGCAAGAAGGAGGACCCTGGAGAAGATGCTCAGTCTTCATTCAGAAAGGCAGATCGGATAGATATCGGAAGAAAGTGAAAATAAGGAACAAGACAGGAGCCTACCACAGAGGGCCTCTGAAAGACTCTACCCAGCAGGATATTAAAGTGGATGCCGGGACTCATAGCCAAACTTTGGGCAGAGTGCAGGGAATCTTATGAAGGAAAGAAGGGGGAGATAGAAAGAATTGGAGGGGACAAGAGCTCCACAAGGAGAGCAACAGAACCAAAAAATATGAGCCCAGGGGTCTTTTCTGAGACTGAAACTCCAACCAAGGACCATTCATGGAGATAACCTAGAACCCCTGCACAGAGGTAGCCCATGGCAGTTCAGTATCCAAGTGGGTTCCATAGTAATGGGAAGAGGAACTGCCTCTGACATAAACTGATTGGCCTGCTCTTTGATCACCTCCCCCTGAGTGGGGAGCAGCCTTACCAGGCCACAGAAGATGACAGTACACTCCTGATGAGATCTGATAGACTAGGATCAGAAGGAAGGGGAGGAGAACCTCCCCTATCAGTGGACTTGGGGAGGGGCATGCATGAAGAAGGGGGAGGGAAAGTGGAATTAGGAGGGGAGGAGGGAGAGGTCTGTGGGGGGATACAAAGTGAATAAAGTGTAATTATTAAAAGTTAAAAAAAAATAAGGTAGACAAAAAAAATAATAAATGTTTCCATCATTTCCTAACTGTGTAATTTTTCTATTACACTTAAATAGTAAAATTATGTGTGTACTATTGAATTGTTTTAAAACAAATTTCTTTATTATTGGTTCCTGTATGTGTTTGAGTGCCTACATTATGTGCTGATAAACCCACAACTCTGTAAAAAATATTGAGTAAAAGATTAAGCAAATGGAATGATCAGAATTCACAAATCTCTAGAGTTATAAGAGAATAACTTCAGAGGGAGTTGAAAAAAATTATAAAAACATGAAAAAAAAAAAAAAAGAATTCTGAACGGACCAAATATTCAAAATACTGAACTGGGCCAGAGCAGCTGCTTTAGATGAGAAGAGCCCTCATTAACTAGGAAGAATGTGCTTTTGTAACTGTCCAGAGAGGTTACTACTGGAGAGTGAGGCAACCACAGAGAGAGTAACTTTTCACACATGTAGATGGTGGAAGGAATTTGAGCACTGTTACATTCAAGAAAGGGGCACCCTAGACTCCCCAGACTCCATGAAAAAAACCCAGGCTCAGCCTAAGCTTCTTAGTCATATTTGGTCTGACCTTTCTTTACAAGAATAGAAATGTTTTTTCTTCTTCTTTTTTATTTTAATTTTATGCCTGATTTTTCAAGACAAAGTTTCTCTGTGTAACAGAGCCCTGACTGTCCTGGATTCATTTTGGCTGGCCTTAAACTCACAGAGATCCACCTGCCTCTGCTGCGATTACAGGCATACACTGCCATGACAGCCAAGAATAGAACTGTTTTCATGAACTGGAACATGGTTCCTAATGAATACAGGGAATGAAGGATGTAAAGCAGAGGCTGTCCTTGTAACCATACCTTTGATGGCAAAGAGAAGGGGTTTGGAAGCTTGAGCTTTGGGAGGCCTGAACCAAAGGTCCCTGAAGGATATTCTAGTCCCAAGGTAACTTGTATGCATGAATGGAAGGAAGAAAGGAGGGAAGGAAAGAAGAAAGGAAGGAAGGAAGGATGGAAGGAAGGAAGACATAGGAAAGACAAGAACACTTACCCAGCTGTGCTTGAACATCGTGGACACTCAGGAGCAGCAGCTTGCCATTTGTCAGCAACTGGAGAGGCATCTTGGAGACACGTTCCTGCCAGTCTTTCAGCTGGCATATCAGTACTACATAGTCCTTGATGGGAGATCCTCTCAGGTCCTCCAGCTTCTGATGGTTCCAGGCTTTCAGAAACTCCTTGATGCCTTCTACCCACTGTTGTTCACTGCAGAATTCCCTCACCTCCTGCAGCATGTCCTAAGGACAAATAAGGTGTAACAGAGATGGGTAGCTGAAATGGAAGCTGGCAGCCAACAGCACACTCCTCCAGTTCTGCTCTCACCTCCAGGAACGCCTTTTGCACAGCCAGTGCTTGTTGGATTGAAGCATTGTTGTCCAAGTCCTTCTGCACATGACTGTAACTGGGGTGCAGATACTGACCCCGTAGCCGGTGCCCTCGGACTTCTAGGACATCAGTAATTGCATGAGACTTCCATGTCCACACAAATCCTACGTTCGGGCCACAGAAGAGGTGAACAGCATCGCTGGGCTTTCCATGGAACTTGGGCATCAGGAATTGAGCATTTGAGTCCTGGTCCTTATCGTCTAGTGGAGCACATAATAGTCCATGAGCACCCTTCAGAGCCCTACACAACCTTTCTCTGTGAATGCACACACTTATCACATATCATGATTCTGTACCCTGCTTATGAGCAAGTCTATACGTACATCCTCAACATCAATTAACATAGTACAGCAAATCCATAAGAGGAGTGGATCAGACAGAACGCACATGTTGAGAATAGAATGTGTCTAGTGTAAGCAGAAAGGGAAATTATTACAATTTATTAAGTAGGTTTCAGAATAATTAGGAGATCTGAAAAGCTGCAGGCTGACTGTCTGGAATCTGGCCTGTTGGCAAGTTGGAGTCATTACCACATCACCACACATGGGCTATAACCTGCCTTTCCTCCAACTTAATTCTGAATTGAAAACTCAGATGAATTTAATTGGTGGATCCTATATCACATGCTGTCCAGCTGCAAGGGCACTGGCAAGTGCACTTAAGAGTGGTCTAGCCTCTACGTCACAGAGAAGAGGGAGGCACAGAGGCATATTGGTTGACGATGCCAGTTCCCAATATCCACCTTAAGGAATTATGCTTAGACTGGGGTTCTCCCCATAACATTTTAGGAACTGGTTAATTGCCAGTGTCAGTATTTTTAGTGAAAAAGCCTATCAGCAGGAACAGCTGAGAGCTCACATCTCAAAAACACAAGCAGGAGGCAGAGAACACACTGGGAAGGGTAGGAAACTTCTGAAGCCTCAAATCGTGTCCCTGCGACACTCCTTCAACAAGGTCACTGTTGCAGGGTATTTGATCACACTGTGAATCCTGAGATTGTGTTGTTTACTTAAAAACAAACAAACAAACTTGGTTTTAGTTGTGTTGTGGCTCAGCCTTAGCACACACCTTTAATCCAAGAGCTTTCTGCTTAAATATTGTAAACAGGATTAAATAAAGTCAACTGTAGGTCAAGAGGCAGAGCAAGCAACCAGTTGACAGGAAGTGAACATAGGAAAAAACAGAAAGTGAGAGAAAGTCAAGAGGATGGATAGAGAGGCACACAGGAAGTAGAAGGGAAGGACTTTTAGTTTGAAGGGGATATAGTTTGAGGATTCCTTCTGGGACATCAGCCAAGTGGGAAGGTCAGCTGGGTGCTTCTCTACCTCTCTGAGCTGAAAGCTTTCACCCCAGCATCTGGCTCCCGAGTCTTCGAATTTGAATAACTGATCAATTATTCAATTATTAATGAAATTGAATAATTGAGATTTTGGTAAAAGCATCCGCACACTCCTTCCCAAATAGTTCTGCCAGCAGAGAAGCAAGTATTCAAGCATATGAGCCTATAGGAGCCATTCTTCTTCAAACCACCATGAGGTCTACATTCAAACAATACCTAAGATCCAACTAATTCTCCTCATATCTACCATCACTAGACCAATTTCACCAAAGCTAAGTCACCATTGTCTTTCACTGCCATTACAGAGGCAGGCAAGCATGGGGGTAGCTGAGAAGCATGAGCTTTGCTTGGCTTGCACTGCACACCGGCTCCATCGAAACAACCTGGGACCCCAACTGCACGGTTATAGTTGAAGCATAGACTCCACTTCAAACAATGGAATGGGTTATTACCCTTAGCAACCCTCTTGGTAGCTCCCCTTTTGTGGTTAGTTTCCATTCAAGCTTGTTGCAGAATCTATCTAGGAAGCAGAGAGGCAGGGGCCAGTTCTGCATGAACCAGTCTTGGTTCTGAGTGAACTTTTAGAGTAAATTCTCTATTTACCATTTATGCCTGTGCGTAATTGGCATGCTTATATGGTTAAAATCAGATGCATCATGGGAAAAAATATGACAGCAAAGTTAAGTTTACATAACCCAACCCTATTGGTTTAAACAAAGAATTAACCACACTAGCCACTTAGCATAACTCCTCCTCCCCCCCCTCCTCCTCCTTCTCAGACCCCACAAAAGGAAGCCACATGTGCTTGTCACTCTAGCCCAGGTGGCCTGCTGCTCCCTTGCAGCGTTTCCTGCACTGACTCTATAACTTCTGGCTGCTTTGCTGTTTGTGTGTGCTCTTTCAATTCTTTCAATGACATCCAAGAATGTGCAAATTCCTTGGCCAGACAGCAACCCAAGAGAACATTACTACAATATTCTTCTAGCCTTTTCTTGCTTTGGCTCTTGCCTACAATACCTGATAGCTTCTTCCATATAGAAACAATAACAATTTTAACATCAGAAGGGATTCTGAGATGATGGTAGTATAAGCCATTTTGAAATCACCACAAATCCTCACGTGAAAATGACAAAGCAATTAGAAACCTAGGATGAGTAATATTTTTAACAACTAGGAAAAAAGCCTAAGTCCCAAGATCAGTGAGTGGGCCAAGCCACTCATAGCCTCAAGATACCAGCATTTATGAGTATGTAAGACACCAATACTTTTTGTCACTTAACTTAATCTAATATTATTTTTTGAAAACATGTGCCCAACAAATGTGATCTATATGTATCTATCTATATAAAATACAGATTTCTTTTCCAGAACCTTTTCCTTCTTGTGAATGATCCCCTAAAATTAACTTCAGCTTTTATTCTTCTTCATGAAGATATACCATTTGGGTGGAAACTTAAAAGGTATCTAATACTTCTAGTGATTTTTTTTTATAACAGCATTAATACCCTGAAGAAAGGCAATGTCAAGATGAATTTTCTTTCTGATGATTAACAAAGCCAAGGATTAGGGCTGGAGAGATGGTTCAGTGGTTAAGAGCACTGGCTCTTCTTCCAGAGGACCCAGGTTCTATTCCCAGCACCCACACGGCAGCTCTGTAAACAACTGTCTATAAACTCCAGCTTCAAGAGATGCAACACCCTCTACATGCAGACAAAACACCTATGCACATAAAATAAGAATAAATAAATCATTCTTAAAGTTTTTTAAATTGAGGATTAATATCTCAAAACCTTGATGAATTGTCCTATCAGAAATAACATAGCCACATGAGCTAAAGCAGATGTTGAGCAAGCAGAGCTCATGAGACAAGCACACACTGGTTTAGCAATAAAAGTCAACAGCAAATAAAATGCAAGTGTGACACTGAAGAATACCTGGACTCTGAAGTGAACCAGGGGGCAGACAATGTATCTGCACACCCTCCCATCACACTTATTTACGAAAGTGCAGGAATTATTGAGCATGTGCACATACTGAGCACATGAATTAGTGACCACAGCTCCCTCCAGACTCTTCTAGTTCCTAAGAAGCATGTACAGTACCCAGGTTAGAGCTGCCCCATGGCATCCAAGGTCTGGCCTGTACTGCCTGAGCCTCTTGTCCACTTTCCATGCCTTTTGCACTCTACACGTGCCCCTTCCCTCCATTCAGATTTCCTGTCTCGGTCCCTTTAAGTACCTTCAAAGAACAGGTGATCTCTGGAGGTCTTCTGGTCTTTAGATTTCACTACCTTCATGTCAGGAGACAGAGAAGGAACAGAAATAGAAAAACAATGAGATTCTAAGCAGGCTGAGAACTTCGGATTCCATAGAGAAGAGGAGTGGGAATTTCCAGAGCCCATCCCCTGCCCAATTCAGAAACCTTTAAGGCAGAGGTCTTGATAGAATGCAGGCTCTTAGTGAGACTCTGGATTATAGTTTCAACACAGGGCACAGGAGACAAATGGCCATTGTCATCAAAAGCAAGCTGTGCTAAGAGAAAGGGGTTTTTCCTTGGGGCCTGCAAAAGAAGGATCAGGAGAGGTTGCAAGCCAGATGAAAGTGCACCTCCCCAGGTAGTCTAGCTCTTGATTGCCTTCCCACCTCACCCACCACCTCACCTGAAAAGTGGTGGCTACAAAGGAAGTTATTTCTTCTTCTAAAATGGAAACAAGGTTCTGACAAATCATGTAGTCAATCAGGCGGGCAAACTTTCCCAGCTTCAGCAACCATGTTTCTGCCTGCTTCTGCTTCTTCTCCAGCTGCCTGCACAGCAGCCTGTGAAGGTATATGGAGCCTTGGCCTTTCCTGATCCTGTTCCAGTTTTGCAGTCGCTCCTGTATACCCTGTTGCATTTGGTATGTGTCTTCATGAATCTTTCAGGGTAGAAGAAAGAAAACTCACTGGAAATAGAAGGATGGGAAGTAAAGCAGCTACTCACTGGTCCCTGCAAACAGTGAGATATTAGTGTCTGTAACCTAGAACTTAGATATGTTTGTGGAATACTCCTTTTTAGTAGAGACTGACTCCATACACTTTTAAATGACTTGAGAAGACACAAAATAGAGGACTTACATTCAGAAGGCACATGTTAATGTGATAGGCTAGGCCTATCATGGAAAGGCCACAAGATAAGGCAGCCCACCCTGGTGGCACATTTTCAAGATGTTTCTTGCCAACATTTTCAAGATGTGGGCAAGAAAATCAGGAGCTAAAGGTCACCCTGTGTTATAATGAGATCATGCCTCAAAACAAACAAATGAGCAAATATATAAACAAACCCTGGGATGGAACCCAATTAGAAAAAGTTGAGTATAGGAACATAGGAAGTATCACAAGAGTAGATAAAGATTGCATGACCAACCCAGCAATGATTGCAGATTTGGACTCTAACCATCAGGACTGGAGTAATGGAGCCTGCTGAGACACATAGTGTCACCTTATGCTCTATTACAAACTATCTATTGACACTGACATAGACTTCATTGAAGAAAGTTGGTGTGAGGGATCTCTTTATGGGTTCTTCTCAGTCTAGGAAGATTTTAAACTGACAAAGGCTGAGAGTTTTCAAGTTTCTACGTTTGTCCAGTTGAGGAACCTAAGAGAGAAGGCCATGTTTAGCCAGATGGACCATATGGTCTTTGATGCTCTCCTGCTCCTTGCCATGCTCCTCTGAGCCTGTGGTTAGAATTGACTGGTGTTGTGCATTGTATTTACACTTTCATGAACTCAAGTCTCAGTGTTCTGAGAGTCAGTTGGACCCTAAGAAAACATGTCCTCAAAACTGTGATAGTGTTATCTTCCATGCTTTATTGGTGCCCTCCAAGCTTAGTGTTTCTCACTTCATAGCCTCAGTCTAGCACAGTGGTTCTCAACCTCCCTGTTGCTGCACCCCTTTAAAATGATTCCTCATGTGTGGTGACCCCCAACTATAAAATTATTTTGTTGCTACTTCATAATTTTAATTTTGCTACCATTGCTAATCATAATGTAAATATCTAATATGCAGGAGATTGGATATACAACTCCTGCAGGGTATGACCCACAGGTTTCGAACCACTGCTCTAACACTTTGTCATCATCTAGAAAACTGTAAGACATACCCTCTCTACTGTCATAACCTTTTCTTGCCTGATTAACATAACATTTGGTATATAGTACATCCACTATAAATGTTTAGAGAAAGAATATAATGCCTTCCATTAAAAGGGTCCCCTAGTTGCTAATCAGCATAAAACCATACTAATAAAAATAATTGCTGTTGAAAAACATAATCTGTATATAGTTTTTAAAATGTTGTATTTTAAGGAGCAGTGGAATGCATGTATTAAGCACCAGTCAAGATCTTGGTTTGAATAGATTAGTAGCAGCTGTCAGCCTTGCTGAGCTCTCATCTCCTTCCCCTGCATCCACCAGGGAAAGGTTTCATTCTGTTCCATGCAGACAGAGTGGCTCTATGTGCCTAATGCTTTTCCTTTTGTTTCTTTTTTTTAAATTTTTTTATTTTATTAATAACACTTTATTCACTTTGTATCCCCCCATAAGCCCCTCCCTCCTCTCCTCCCGATCCCACCCTCCCTCCCCTCTCTGCATGCATGCCCCTCCCCAAGTCCACTGATAGGGGAGGTCCTCCTCTCCTTCTTTCTGATCCTAGTCTATCAGATCTCATCAGGAGTGGCTGCATTGTCATCTTCTGTGGCCTGGTAAGGCTGCTCCCCCCTCTGGGGGAGGTGATCAAAGAGCAGGCCAATCAGATTATGTCAGAGGCAGTCCCTCTTCCCATTACTATGTAACCCACTTGGATGCTAAACTGCTATGGGATATATCTGTGCAGGGGTTCTAGGTTATCTCCATGCCTGGTACTTGGTTGGAGTATGAGTCTCTGGGAAGACCCCAGTCTTCAAATTTTCAGGTTCTGTTTCTCTCCTTGTGGGGTTCCTGTCCTCTCCAGCTCTTACTATTTCCCACTTCTTACATAAGATTCCATGCACTCTGCCCAACAGTTGGCCATTAAGTCTGCTTTGATACTCTGCAGGGAAGAGCCTTTCAGAGGCCCTCTGTGGCAGGTTACTAGGTTGTTTCCTGTTTTCTTCTTCTTCTGATGTCCATCCTCTTTGCCTTTCAGGATGGGGATTGAGCATTTTAGTCAGGGTGCTCTCTCTTGATTAGTTTGTTTAGGTGTACAGGTTTTACTAGGTTTATCCTATATTACATGTCTATATGAGTGAGTATATACTCTATGTGTCTTTCTGCTTCTGGGACAACTCACTCAGGATGATCCTTTCCAGGTCCCACCATTTACCTGCAAATTTCATGATTTCCTTGTTTTTCATTGCAGAGTAATATTCCATTGTGTAGATGTACCACAATTTCTGCCTCCATTCTTCAGCTGAGGGGCATCTGGGTTGTTTCCAGCTTCTGGCTATTACAAATAAGGCTGCTACAAACATGATTGAGCAAATGTCTTTATTGTGTACTTGAGCCTCTTTTGAATATATGCCTAGGAGTGGTATGGCTGGATCTTGAGGAAGCGCTATTCCTTGTTGTCTGAGAAAGTGCCAGATTGCTTTCCAGAGTGGTTGTACAAGTTTACATTCCCACCAGCAGGGGAGGAGGGTTGCCCTTTCTCCACAACCTCTCCAGCATGTGTTATCACTTGAGTTTTTCATCTTGGCCATTTTGATGGGTGTAAGGTGAAATCTCAGGGTCATTTTGATTTGCATTTCCCTAATGGCTAGTGACGTTGAGCATTTCTTTAAGTGTTTCTCTGCCATTCGATATTCCTCTACAGAGAGTTCTCTGTTTAGTTCTGTTCCCCATTTTTTAATTGGATTACTTGGTTTGCTGCTTTTCAGCTTCTTTAGTTCTTTGTAGATACTGGATATTAGCTCTCTGTCGGATAAAGGGTTGGTGAAGATTCTTTCCCAATCTGTAGGCATTCGTTTTGTTTTGATGATGGTGTCTTTTGCTTTACAGAAGCTTTTCAGTGTCATGGGGTCCCATTTATTGATTGTTGCTCTTAGAGCCTGTGCTGTTGGTGTTCTTTTCAGGAAGTTTTCTCCTGTACCAATGAGTTCTAGGGTATTCCCCACTTTTTCTTCTAACTGATTTAATGTGTCTGGTTTTATGTTGAGGTCTTTGATCCACTTGGACTTCAGTTTTGTGCAGGGTGATAAGTATGGATCTATTTGCATTTTTCTACATGTAGACATCCAGTTAGACCAGCACCATTTGTTGAAGATGCTATATTTTTTTCCATTGTATGGTTTTGGCATCTTTGTCAAAGATCAGGTGTCTATAAGTGTGTGGGTTTATTTCTGGGTCTTCTGTTCGGTTCCATTGATCCACCACTCTGTTTCTATGCCAGTACCATGCAGTTTTTATAACTGTTGCTCTATAGTACAGCTTGAGATCAGGGATGGAGATACCTCCAGAAGATATTTTATTGTAAAGGATTGTTTTAGCAATTCTGGGTTTCTTGTTATTCCATATGAAGTTGAGAATTTTTCTTTCCAGGTCTGTAAAGAATTGTGTTGGTAATTTGATGGGAATTGCATCGAATCTGTAGATTGCTTTTGGTATATGGCCATTTTTACTATGTTACTTCTGCCAATCCATGGGCATGGGAGATCTTTTCATCTTCTGATATCTTCTTCTAATTCTTTCTTCAGAGACTTGAAATTTTTTTTCATACAAGTCTTTGTATGATTTGCTTGGTTATGGTTACACCAAGGTACTTTATGTCATTTGTGGCTATTGTGAAGGGTGTTGCTTCCCTAATTTCTTTCTCAGCCCTTTTGTCTTTTGTATAGAGGAGGGCTACTGATTTTTTTGAGTTAATTTTGTATCTGGCCACTTTGCTGAAGGTGTGAATCAGCTGTAGGAGTTCCCTGGTAGAGTTTTTGGGGTCACTCACGTATACTATCATATCACCTGCAAATAGTGATAATTTGACTTTTCCTTTCCAATTTGTATCCCCTTGATCTCCTTCAACTGTCTTATTGCTCTAGCAAGGACTTCCAGAACTATGTGAAAGAGATATGGAGAGAGTGGGCAGCCTTGTCTTGTCCCTGATTTCAATGGGATTGCTTTAAGTTTCTCTCTGTTCAGTTTGATGTTGGCTATAGGCTTGCTGTATATTGCCTTTACTATGTTTAGATAAGTGCCTTGTATCCCTGATCTCTCCAACACTTTAAACATGAATGGATGTTGGATTTGTCAAATGCTTTTTCAGCATCTAGGGAGATTATCATGTGGGTTTTTTTTTCTCTCAGTTTGTTAATATGGTGGATCACGTTGATGGATTTCCGTATATTGAACCACCCTTGCATACCTGGGATGAAGCCTACTTGGTCATAGTGGATGGTATCTTTGATGTGTTCTTGTATTTGGTTTGCAAGTATTTTGCTGAGTATTTTTGCATCAATGTTCATAAGGGAGATTGGCCTGAAATTCTCTTTCTTTGTTGGGTCTTTGTGAAGTTTAGGTACCAAAGTGACTGTGGCTTCATAGAATGAGTTTGGTAATGTTCCTTCTGTTTCAATTTTGTGGCATAGTTTGAAGAAAACTGGAATTAGCTCTTCTTTGAAGGTCTTGTAGAATTCTGTGCTGAAGCCATTTGGTCCTGGGCTTTTTTTGGATGGGAGACTTTCGATGACCGCTTCTATTTCCTTGGGTGATGTAGGACTATTTAATTGATTTACCTGCTCCTAATTCAGCTTTGGTAAGTCGAATCGATCAAATAAGTTGTCCATTTCATTTAGATTTTCAAATTTTGTGGCATATAGACTTTTGAAGTAAGTCCCAATGGTTGTTTGGATTTCCTCAGTGTCTGTAGTTATGTCCCCCTTTTCATTTCTGATTTTGTTGATTTGGA